TCTATCTATCTATACATACATACATACATATCTCTCATTTTGTCTCTAATTATTTCCTTCTATCTATCAATCTATCTATCTATGCTATTGAATTAAAATCATTGTCGAAGCAGTTGCAGCTATTTTGTAATAATGTTTGTTAACCTTTTACTCATTGTTAGTTAATTTTTATCATTATTATTATTATTATTATTATTATTACTATATTTCCTCGTGTTTATGTGCTTAGTCGTAGTTTGTTTATTATTGACTTATATATATATATATATATATATATATATATATATATATATTTTAGTTTTCTTGTTTATATTACATATTTATATTTAACATTTGGTGGAGGGATTCGTTATATTATTTGTTTAGTTTAAAGAAATGGCTTCGTCTTAATTATTTTACATTATTTGTGTTTTTTTTGTGTATTTCTTTTATTTTTTTGGCACTCGTTAAAACATATTCATCAGAAACATAATAAAAATCAGCTACAGTTACACCGATAAATAAATAATAAAAATGCACAACAGAAAAATAGCCAACAAACCATCCGACCCTTAACGACCAGTAGTTGACGAGTAAGGAACGAATGACCCTTCAATTACAATTGATAACACACACACACACATACACACATATGCGTTTGTGTGTGTTATCAATTGAAATTTAAGGGACATTCGTTCTTATATATATATATATATATATATATATATATATATATATATATATATGTGTGTGGGGGGGTGTATTGCATAAATGTTATTTTTTGGATACTTGTGTCTGAAATAGATCTCCCATTTTTTAACAGTGTGTGTAACGTCTAGCAGCCTTTTATGAAACCTTATCTGTATGCGAGTGTGCGTCTGTGTTTGTGTTTGTATTGTAGTAACTAAAAGACCATGGAAACAGAGATATTATGGAAATAAATCACGCTTGATAAATAGTAAATACGCGAACAACACACGACACTTTCTAAATATATATGGGAATATGAAAGTAATTACCTAAAATTGATTATGCAGAAAAATGGAAACCATATCATCCTACGTCAATAAATAATCAAACTTTAAAAATTGTCCTGTGGAGAAAATACGTATAATTACCTTCCGAGGCAAGGGCCAATTGCTAATTAAACGATCAGAACATATCTCTAAATGAAAATATTTAATATATTACTTAAATATCTAAAACAAATTATTATTATCTTGTAAATTACCACTACAAAAATTTCAAATATATGTGTTATATAGAGCTCAAATTATGTAGCATAATTTAGACTAATACATTAAACTAAACAAATAAGATTACAAAACGTCGAAAAAACATCTAAAGAAACTCATTAAGTAAATAATAAACAAAACAGGAATGCACACTAACTTTAAATAATTATGTAATTAATAATAAATAATGCGTGAAAATTTACCAAATAACATTATAAAATAACTACAAACAACCATAATCATTTCTACTTAATAACCTCCAGAATAACCTGTAACATAACCGTTATCGGTTACGCAATAACCGCCCGGATAATACAATAGACCTTGATACACATAATGCACCAACGACCAGCATATATAAATATCCGAACCAAAACAGAACACACGTCGGTGAAGCATGAAACAGTCGTCACTTAGTCTTGAACTCAATGTTCGGTTATATTTACATACGCTCTATCTCTGATATTGAGCCCTTTTATCCATGAATATAGCATACCTTAAAACATTATTTTCATTATATTATTGATAGATAGACAGATGAGTAGCTAGCTAGATAGATAGTTAAACAGGCAGATAATCATCAGCCTAAGATAGATAATGAATAGGCTAAGATAGATAGATAGATAGATAGATAGATAGATAGATAGATAGATAGATAGATAGATAGATAGATAATGATCAGCCTAAGTAGATAATGAATAGACCAAGATAGATAGATAGATAGATAGGGCACGCCATATACATTGATATATTATTTCTGCACTACAATTTGAATAGAATATACTTTTCATACAATTTTCAAAAGCTAGTCTTATCTCTTTTCTTACTGCCTTTATTTCCGTCATTCATTTTTAAAATTAACAAATTTCAGAAATTTATTTTAAATAAACGGACCAACGATAAAATTACATTCTGTGTATCTGTCTCCCTAGTAGGCTATAATTGGAAAGGGTTTGTTATCTTCATTTGGCTACCAGATGAAGAAGCTGCTTCGCCTTGTTTAGACAATATTACATTTGTGTCCAAATGAATAAAACTAACAAAAACCATTCAATAGGTCAAATCTCTTTTGCAGTCGTTCGCCCTTTTGTAGTTCAGCAAATAGCGACGATATATTACCACAGCTTTAAACATCCTACATGCCTTGAAATCTCGTTAACCAAAGCGAGAATCTCGTTTACGAGTCATAGGTTGTTTTTAAAGTCGTTCATCCGGATCTTCTGGTTCTTATCCAAAATTATTTCTGTAAAAAAAAGAACCAAAAAAGAAAAAAAAATGATGGATTATTTCACCTGCAAATACTGGCTTTGAACTGAAAGACAAAACACCCTGTTATTTTAGCTGTTTAATAGTTAGGAGTCTGTTTTACCTTATACTTGTATAGCATTATTTATTTTGACTAGGATTGTCAGTGCGTACTTTGGCTAATGTGAAGTACTTACTGAAACAGGCTGATGAATATAGAGCCGAAAAGAAATGATGAGTAGATCGTCATTCGAACATTGTATGAAAAGTTCTCAGCTCGAACAAGCAGCATTACTTCACAAGATTCTTATGATTAGGCCTGTGGTCAGATTTTCATCACCTCTTCATATCTTCATATTCTGTCTGAATCACTCACTCTTCATCTATCTATCTATCTATCTATCTATCTATCTATCTCTCTCTCTCTCTCTCTCTCTATATATATATATATATATATATATATATATATATACAGAATTCATATAATTTAAAGGTTTGTCAATTGACTAATTGATGTTACTTCAGCAATCCGACTCCAGAGTTTCGTAGATGGCTCCGTCATTTACAAGATCAAAGGTTATCATCAATTGACTTCTAGATTTTTCTTTTTCCAAATGCACTTATCATTAGTGCAAGATTTTTCATAGTGTGTGTGAGTGTGCATTCTGTTGTCTTGAATGGTAATTTAAGACTAGAATATCTACTATTATTAGGTTGTAAACAGTCAGAAGTAGACAAAGATTTATGTCTTAAAAATGAATGCCAATTATTCATCAATTTCTTTTTTCACTGGGGTGTATTTTGAGGAATCGGAGAGTCGAGTTCGAATTCCAGTTAAATCCATTGCATTCACTTACGTACTAAAACCATTAGGAAAGGTATGATTCCTCTTCTCCCCACCAGCTATGTGTAAATCGCAACACAGACCGGGTGCTATAGCCTTGGATGGCAAATTGTCTACCACAGAAAGAAATAGACACCTAGTGCGGGAAAAATGTTTACCTCGTCAGTCATGTAGCGAAAGATACATGATCGCCTAAGCATTTATCACGTATAGCAGATAGCTGACTGGCTGAGAAATAAGTAATATTCTAAAATAACATAAAAGTCAAGAAGAGAATAAGCTGTGGGTAACAGGGTGGGCTTGCTGAAGTCGGGAGAAAATAAAAGCTGGCATATCAGCCATAATTGATAAACACATCTGCGATTAATAATCATTGTTTTGTTTTTTATTATAGATAAATAATTTGCTTCGGATTATATAGGATTATATAGAAGAAGAGGATTCATGCCTTTCCCAAAGGTTTTAGCACGTAATATCCTTGGGAAAGCTATGAATCCTCTTCTCTCCTCCAGCTATGGGTAAATAGCAAGACAGACCGGGTTCTATAGCCATGGATGGCAACTGTTATACTGCTGAAAGAAATGACAACCTACTGCGAGAAAAGTCTGCATCGTCAGTCATGTATCGAAAGATACACCATCGCCTAAGCGTGTATCACGCAGGGAATATAACTGACGGACTGACGTTCTAATATCCTTGGGAAAGGTATGAATCTTCTTCTTCTCGACTCCAGCTACGGGTAAATAGCAAGACAGACCGGGTTCTATAGCCTTGGATGGCAACTATTATACTGCAGAAAGAAATGGCAATCTACTGTGAGAATAATCTGCATCGTCAGTCATGTATCATAAGATACATAATCGCCTAAGCGTGTATCACGCATGGCATATAACTGACTGACAGACATTCTAATATTCTTGGAAATGGTATGAATCTTCTCGCCTTCAGCTATTGGTAAATAGCAAGACAGACTGGGTTCTATAACCCCGGATGGCAACTGATCTACTGCAGAAAGAAATGGAAACCTACTGCGGGAAAAATCTGCTTTGTCAGTCATGTATCGAAAGATACATGATCGCCTAAACGTGTTCACGCATGGCACATAACTGACTATAATTATAATCGTGTACAATAGTAAAGTTATGATGAAATATCCTGAATATACAATACTGTAGTATACTTCTTCTAAACACAGATACATGAAGAAAATTCTAATGTAAATTGAAGCGGTTCTTACGGAATGTATTGCAACATCCTCTAGAAAAACTACAGGCCGCCAACTTGTGACAGATTCCGCTGAAGTTCGACATGATTTTCCCCTGCAAATGAGATGAGGCGAGACAAGAAGAAACGAGACCAGCGACAAAGAAACATGGTTGACCCGAGAACGCTGCCATAATTGCCAAGATACATCCTCCAGCGGAACATATCGTCTAACGTTAAATTACCGCGCCAAATGTTTCAGATTGATATTTAAATAGGTCGTCTTCGGTGGTGGCGGTGATGAAGACAGGGTCGGGAATGGCGCAGTTTATCCAAAATAGACTCGGCTGTCGTTCTGTGAATTCGATCGAGACAGGCATAGCAGCAGGTGTGGGGGAGGGTATTCTAGTGATTACCAAAGCACAAAGAAAATTACTTTCACGAGCTAATGGAACTTGCAGACTCCTGCTTCAACATTTTTCGCGCCGTTCGTAATGCCGACGCCGGCATTTTCTTTCTCTTTTCTTACTCTCTTTCAGTGTTTGCACCTTCTTTTTAATTGTTCGTTTGTTGTTGATGTTATCCCTTGTAACCCTTTGTTTTCTTAATAATTAATTTCTTCCTATTTTTTTCTATGGCATTTTTCAGCCACACTTACTCCTAATAAAATGTGTTATTCTTCTTGTTGCTTCTAATATTCAATATCGCTTTTCTTTTAATTCTTTTTTCATTTCTGTTCACTTTTTTTTGTTTCATTTTTATTATTCCTTCTCCTTTTCTAACGCTTTTCTCTTTTTTTTATTTCATTTTGTTTCCTCTTGTTTTTCTTCTTGAAATTTTTTTCATTCTCTTTATATTTGTCATTACTTTGTTTCCTTCGGTTGGTGTAAAAAAAATATAGCAGAATATTGTTTTTTTTTTTTCTTTTACTAAATTATGACTTTTGATGGAAGCTTTTCTTTATTTTATTTTTCATTATATTTATTGCAAAGGATCTCTCTCAATGGACATACTTTTAAGTTATTTTATTATCTGATTTATATGCATTCTTTGTAGGACTTTCTTTCTTTTTTTCTACATTCTTGATTTCTTTCTTCTATTCCATAATTCTTTTGTTTCTTTTTTATTTTCCTTCTTTTGTTCTATTTGATTCTTTCGATATTTATTTCTATTTTTTTCTTTATTTTGTGTTCGTTTTTCTTGTTCATTATGATCCTTTCTTGATTCATAACTCCGTTTTACCTTTCCTTCCTCCCCCCTCTCTCTCTCTTGTTTATTTCTTACTTTTTTCTCCCTATATTGCTTTTTTTTCTGTTCTTATTTGTATCTTTCTTGTTTGGTTTCTTGTGGCATTCTTTTTTCTTTTTTCCTTCTATTATTTTTTATTTCTTTTTCTTTCTTTTTTCTTTTAATGTTAGTTGCTTCCTTCTAACGTTCTTTTGTTTTTCCTTTTTATCGCATCTCCTTCATCGTTTCTTGATTTTTTTTTTTTATATTTATTCCTTGATTTGGTTTGTTTGCTTCATTCTTCATCATTTGTTTCATTTTTTTTCCTTCTTTCATTGTACATTTTACTCTATTCCTTATTCTTTCTTTCGTCTTTTGTTGATTTCTTATTCGTTCCTTCTTTTATTTTTACATCTTTCTTTCATTCATGTGTGTTTCTTCCTTTATTCAGTCTTTCGTTCGTTTTTCTTTCTTCTTTCTTCCTTCTTTTTGGTTTTCTTTCTTCTATACCTACTTTTTGTTTCATAATTTCTTGCTCAGTTTCTCCTTTTTTAAACTGTTCTTTTTATTTTCTCTTTCTTTCTTGCGTTCAAATTTTAATTCTCTTTTCTTCATTCTTTCTTTATGTTTCATTACTATGTCCGTGCATTCATATTTCGACTTCTTTCTTTCTATCTGTCTATATCTCTGAAATGAAGTATTAGAATTACTTATATTTTTTTTATATTAATTTGACTATTATCCTCATCTTCATTGCCATATTCAACTCCCCAAGGACACATGGCACATTGGATAAAGTTGGTTAGTTTCGGTGACTAGACTTAAAAGTTGTGAGTTCAATACCAGGCCACAGCAGTGGTGAACCAAAAAACAGCAAAGAGTTAATGGGAAATAATTGAAAGATCCGCAAGAAGAAATCTCGGTGGACGAAATAAAGGGTTCGAATCGAAATTCTAATCACCTGAAGAAAGCCGGAGCGTACAACGGTCGAAACGTTGTGAATAGGCCAATGAAGTTGAGGATAACAGCCCAAATAATATCAATAATTTAAGTATTCTTTCTTTCTTATCTTCTGTTTTTGTTTCTTATTTTCTTTATCTTTTCTGTTTACTCTGATTTCTTTTCTCTTTATATTGTTTATTTATTCCCTTCCGCTTTTAAAATTCTTTCTTTTTTGTTTTTATTTTCTACATTGTCCAACTATTTTTATTCTATCTTTCTTTAGCTTCTTTTCTTTTCTTCTTAAATTTATTTGCGCTTTCATTTCTTTCACGCTTTTTAATTATTTTTTCTTTCTTACACTTTTCTTTCTCTCTCTTTATTTCTTTCTTTCTTTTCTACGTCTTTATTTTTCTTCTTTATTCTGTTTTCTTTCTTTCTTTTTAAAGTTATTCGCTCTTATTTTTCCTTTTCCATTTTTTAATTATTACTTTCCTTTCTTTTTCTGTTTTTTTACTTTCTTTTTTGCTCACCAATTTCTGTTCATTCTCTTTCCTTGGTTTTCATTGTTTTTTTTTTATATTTATTTCCTATTTATTCTTTTTTTTTTCCTTTCTTTCTTTCTTTTTTCCGGCATTTCTCCCTCTCCTTTCTTTCTACTTTCCTTCTTTATTTCCTTCCTTTTTTCTTTATTTTTCTAAAACACTGCGGTTCTTTGTTCCATTTCCCTTCGTTAAAATTTCATCAACTCTTATGACGGCCATTTTTTTTTCCTATTTTCCTCCTCTGACTATTCTAAATTTTGCAGACAGCGTTCTGCATAGATGAAAGGATAAATGTAGGTGGGTAACTTCTTTGTGAACGGTTCTTTCTCACTGACAATGGTTTTGAAATGGTTGAAAAATTCTTAAGGCTGAATCCGGTGGTGGGGTATAGAAAAGCTTTAAGAGTAGGGATGGTCTTTTCCCAGAAACCAAGGGATACCAACCAACAAAATTCCACAGGTTTTTAGCCATCTCCTTTTTAATTTCTTTGTTTTTTACAGAACGCTCTACCTTGCTGTAATCTTGTAAAGCTGGAATAGTCGTTAGCTCTCTCAACACTTCGTAACGCCGTTTTTCTCTTTGTTCTGAAGAAGAACGCAAAAATGGCAGTGAGTTAAAATTGGTTATGAAGAATGAAGAAAGGAGATACAAATATGCCCGTTTGGTAAACGGAGAACACATTAACTGAAGAAAGACAACGAGCCAAAGTACAGAAGAATGCTTGAAAGAATTTTGTAACGAGATGTAAAAAGGAAAAAAAGAAAGGTAAAAAAAAAAAAAAATTAAATGAAAATCGGTAAAACAAAAGCCAAACTTTTTCTATGTGGCGAGTCACATCAGGACGCGGGCGATCGTGGCTTTTCACAACATCCTCTCATTTGTAGCTCTTTTTATTTTCTGTCAATTTTAATCTCTGTTCTGCCAACCATTTACACAAGATCTTCGCTGCTTTATTCTGTCCCACTTGCATTCATTGCCATGTGATTATGAAACTCCCCAAACCCTCTATTCTGATTACGGAGCCTAATCTTTTTAACTGTCTCTTTCAGTTCTCTATAAGTGTCGTATTTTCTTAAAACTTCCTTTTTACTCACATGTTCAGTCAATTAAATTCTCAGTATATTTCTGTAGAGTCACATTTCAGTTGCTTTAAGTCTCATCGTCATCTGCGAGTAGATTGTCCACTATTTACTGTCATATAAGAGGACTCTTAGTGTGATTTTGAACGAAATGTTCCCGTTTTCATAATACTTAGATGCGTATCTCGCTATACCAATTCTCTTTTTGGATTTCGGGGTCATATTTCCCATCTTCTGTTAAAAGATCTCCAAGTCATTTCATTTTATTTTTCTTCTTGTCGCCTCTTGCTTGTTCCCGTCTTGGGCTGTTCATTTTGTTTTCATCCATGAATTCTGTCTACATACAGTTGATGTTTATGTTGACCATGTTCGCCAAGTCTATGAATATAGAATACAGCGCAGTACGTAATCTGTTCAATAAACAAGATTAAAATTAATACTCACGAATCAGACATTCTACTGAATCTGCCTATATCGCTAATACCACCAGCAGCTGTTCTGTAATTCTTCAGTCTTCGATATCAAATGCTGCCAGTGAATATTCAGGAAAAAAACATGGCTGCCTTTATACACGTCGCATTGAATATTTTGACCCTTCTGATTGGTTAAGCCTTCTATTGGGGAACTATATAATGAATCAGCTCATTTTGGCTGACTCACAAGTACTAAAGGGTACCCAAAAATTCCAACAGTTTAGACATTTATAGCTTTGCTTTACCAACTTGTCTAGGATTTTCCTCTCTCTGCTATCAATACTTTTTTTTATCTGTATATCTTACGTTAATATTGTGTTTGCTAATAATAAATGTTGCATTCTAAATTTCTCAGAATCGCCTCTCTATAGAATCTGAATAATTCCTTTCTGAAGACACATCCTCATCTTACTAACTTTTCTATCTTTGTAAATTTACTGAAGTCATTTCTATATATAATGTTGTAGCCTCCATTTCTCTCTTTGCTTGTTATCGAACTCCACCAAGGGCTTTGGAGATTGAACCCCATAACATTATACACTAGCCAAGGTACTTTAATAGGTATATTTCATTTTTAATCAAAGGTTGTCCCCGAGGGCAGAAACTCCCCACTGAATATTTTTTTCCCTTTGATTTAATGTAAATGTAAACAAGAGAATGACTCCTATCCGAAACATCGAAGAAGAAAAGCAAGAAATGGAGGTTACATCGTCAAGATCAAAATGAGACAATATGCACGTCAAGTTGAGCAAGAAATCAACAATCAGTAGGTAGTACCTTACAATATCAATGTTCAGATTTGCTCATCAATTCATCCAATCAAATATTGCATTAAAAACATATCAAAGGCGTCAGATCAAGCAGTTTTTCCCAAACCCACGCACTGATATTTGTTCCCTTTCATTTAAATTAAATTTAAATTTTAAACAAAGGAATGTCTCTTATCCAAAATGTAGAAGAAGAAATCCAGCAAATGGAGTTCACACCCGCAAGATCATTGAGTAATACGGAAACGCATCATTTTTCTTCACAAATTATAACAATGATTTAAAATCAAACATCTTTTTTCCCAGGCGCGTGTAATTCGGCTAGTTATTATATATATATTACATAGGTTTGCAAAATTATATTTACTAAAATTTGTTTCATTTCTGTGTAGTGATTTATTTTCATACTTTTTTGAACACAATGAATCATGCAACAGAATGTTTTCTTTAAATCATATCTCATGATAAAATTGTCTTTTTAGATGAATCTATCGACAATCATCTGAGGAAGGCCGGATGTCACTAATGATTGTATAGTCTTTATTATTCCGCAATATGATCTATGCTAGCGTTCCTCAATAAATTATTTAAATTAAGATCTGCGTTGAGAAACTGTTCAAAATAATTGTTGCCATTCCATTACCAACAGATAGTCATTTTAGATGAAATTTTATTGTGAAAATTTTTGTAATATGAAACCGAATAGTTGTACAGCTTCTTTGGAGGTCATAAAGGTCATTCTGAGAGAATGTTAATCATGTTTTTATAAAGTCTTCATCCTCATTTGCTACACGTTCTTTCCTTAGGTGAATATATACACTATAAAGCTAACAACTCAAAGACTGAATGGTTGATCACGTCCATTTGCTACAGCTCTTATTGTTGAAAATTAAGATAAACGAATTCTTTGCTATTTGTTTTCACGTATTCTTGATAGAAATCCTTACTATAATTTTGACAACATTTATATTAGTGAAATTCCAAAAATGAAAGCAGTCTTTTTGACTATTGTCCTTTATTTATGTTGCTCATCATAAATAAACCAGACATCCTGGGAGGGGGGGGATATTCTATCTTTTTACATCATTATAAAGAATTACACTTTTCAGACATCTTTGTCGATGAACCTACAGACCGCCATTCAATGACATTCTGATCTTTGCCGAAATGCCTTCAGTAGACCATTTACGTTATTTCAAAAACCAAGCATCTGCCTGTCTCAAAAAAGACACAAAAGGTATTTGCTCTGTTTCAATAGCAATAGAAACTTTTCCTAGGCATGATAAATTTTTTAAAACTTTTGCGTTCTTGTGTAATGTACAACGGTTCGAAATGAGAATTTGGTAACCTATCGTGTTCATTACACTCACTTAAGCGCAAATACACTTGGAAAAGCTATGAATGCATCGCTTCATTTTTAAGGTATGGGTTGAATAGCAGGACAGACCGTTTTCTATAACCTTTGAAAGAAGTCTAACGTAGAAAGAAACGACAATTTTTTTTTTTAAGCGTTTCACCCCAAGCAAGGCGAGAAGCCACTAGGACGCAAGGGGTTACAGAAAATTCAGAGCAAGATCAGATAGGAGTGATAGAAGAAAGGATGAAGAGAAGGGTAGTGGATAGATCAAGGCAACTGGATATGTCGATTGACATTACACTTGAATAGCTGGAGATTATATCTCTCAGAGAAACTGGAATAGGGAAGGGAGTTTCACAGGCGGGATGTGCGAAACATGAAGCTATTGGAGTAGAAGAGACGGCTTATTGTGGGAATATCTTCTCTCGAATCGAAAGGGACATGATTGCAAAAAGTGTATTACGTATAGCACTTAGCTAACTGAATGAGGCATCGTCATATTCACACTCCTCCTCGATCCTTTGATCATGAGCAGAGTATTATT